AATAACATATTCATAATATAAATGAGTTGATTGTCCTCAATATAATTGAAAAACGTATCCTAACACAAAATGCGCTTTTTTTGTTCTTACTGAACAATGCAACGAGTCCATATATTCAAAAAGTAAACTTATCATTCTGCACACAGTCATTAGAAATATGTAACGTAGCCTCGTCTTTATTTCGGCAAGAGGTCTTTATGGATGCATTAGGGTATTTCATTTTGAACAGTGTAGTTGTTCTATCTTGCACCTAGCCGCCACACATTTGAACTGAAGATGATCAGAATGCGGTAAAAGGGAACTAACACATTCCAAAATTTGTGATTTTTCAGGAGGAAGATTTTTATTTAAAAGGATCAGTACTTTATATGTACTTATGTACTTTATACAAGGTTGCCAGCTGTTTTGTAAACTGTCTAAATGAAATTTGTACTAGCTAAATGTACTATTTTAGCTGCGTAACAAGCTCTTGGTCAGCGTGCTCGCTTTTCACTACGCGGCCGCGGGTTCGATTCCCGATTAGGCAAGATTATAGTGTATGCTTTCCTTACAATGTCCCAATATATGTTGCCGAGTGACGAGAATATTCACTCAAGTTGAGAAGAGCGGAATACGGCGTGAGGATGTCTACGTGCCAACCCGTACTCCCTTAACCATGACCGCGAGGCAGAGACGTCGCTGATAGGCCTGAGCCCGTTCACAGGCTGTCATGCCTAGTACATACATACAGACACACAAATGTACTATTTCTTCTCTACCATCAAAACTCATGATTTTGAGACGCGTCACATGAATTTCTATTTTTGCTGGACAATTTATAATATTGAAGAATATTTTAGGGGCAGAAATGTTTACTCATTCTGGCGTCATTGTACGAGCGTAAGCAAAATGGGTACATATTATTGGCTGAATAACTTTTTGTTAAATAGATGAAAGAATTATTTGATGAGAACAAAACTATTACGCATTTTCTGGATGGATATGAATTTCTTGGAAATATATGTTATTTAATATATTTTATTTACAATGTACAAAATATTTACATAAATTGTTATGAATCACTTAAATATACATATAGAAAAAATATACATTGTCTAGGCCTAAATAAAAAATAATAATTTCCTGCTCTGGCACATAAAGAGTCTTGTATGAATGAATAATGTGGTATCATATGAATTGAATTCCGATACTTATTATTTTTCCTTGAAAGGTAAACATTAATGCAAGAAATGCTATGCATATATGAAACTACATCGTTAAATTCTTGATCAAATTTGATTTCTCCTTTGCATTAGTTACTCTATAATGTATTTCTGTTATAATTATTAATCGCGTATTAATGTGATTAATTACATGTACAATGAATTATGAATATTATAATATGATGTATGTACTATAAATACTTAATGTCTTGCCCCAACTATACTAGGTGTTATTGCTTTCAACATTTGTTACGATTACCCACATACAAAAACGAGAAAAGTTAAATTCAGTTTGTTGAAACTTTCGATATATCTTCATGGAATGTGGTAAATGCTAAATGTAAAGCGTGGTTTTCCAATCATGACATTATCTTAAGGACATTCTATCTTAAGATTATTGAATTATCTGTGACTGAAAGAAGTGTTTTGCAACATTAAAACGGGTTGCTCCTTACTGGTAATTCCATCTTATTAAATATTACTTTATATTCAAGTAGATACGAGTCAGCCTAACAATTGATTAAACAATGTAATATTGAAACCCACATTTAACAATATTTTTGAGTGTAAACTAATAACAAAATATTCATGACAAAAATTGATTAATTTCAAAACACTTCCCTGACTTTTTATTTACAGAGAAGAGCTTCCAGAAATGCTTTGGCGTACCTCTCTACGATCCATTTTCAAAGCGTGTCTTGAATCTTAACTTGACGTTTCAGGTTTCATCGGGAGTTCGCAGATGAATGGGTACGTGCCAGTATTATAGTAGTCGTAGATGTGACCGTTAGATTTCAGGTATACGACGTTTCTCTTAACACCACCGTCAGGTTCTCCCGATCCCCATAGAGAATGTTGGAAGCTGTTCATTGGTTGACCTACGGCAGAGAACAAACCACCAGTAAATTCCTCGAACGAAACTAGTAAGAGTGTGTGCTAGATGAGAATATGTATGCATGTGTGTGTATACATGTAAAGGATGAATGTGTGAGTGCGTGTATATGAAAGAGTATGAGCGTATTTATTTATTAAACCACAACTGTGTTAAACCCCAATTACAACACGTATTGCAAATGGAAATTAACAAAAAGAGGAAAACAAAGTCAATGAAGGATATCGAAAACAAAACTAATGCACAATTGAAGGTAAAAAATGAAGAAATATTGTTTTAAACAATAAAATTTTATACAGTTAATACAACATAACACACCAAAGAAAAATAGTGAAGCGTAACAGTGAGGATTAATAATTTATTTCATTACTATTTCATATTTTTTTCAAACTTTCATTCAAATATTTCTTGTATTAAAAAATACTGAAGTATTGTATAATTCACACATTTTACTTAACTAATATTTAGAAAAGAAGAGTGGAGAATATTTCAAGCATATTTCATTTCATATACTCAAGAGTGGAAATTTTTACATGATGAAGTAGCAACAATTAACATATAGTAACAGACGATTCTTCAAGTCTCACCTTCGAGTGTTAATAGTCCACTTGTAACAGAAGTCACTGTTATCAGTTAGATCATTTAATATTTTATATAATAACAATTGTTCAGACACAACTCTTTGTTTACCAAGAGTGGTTAAATAAAATTCAACTAGAGTACGTGAGTGTGAGTGTGAAAGTGTCTGTGTTAGTCTGTGGAAGTGAGTGAGTGTGAATAAATGAACGTGTACATGATTGTGTGTGTGTGTGTGTTGTGTGTGTGTGTGTGTGTGTGTGTGTGTGTGTGTGTGTGTGTGTGTGGGTGGGTGGTGGGTGTTTGGGGGTGGGAAAGGAGGAGTCTTTTAGTTTATATAGCCTCTTCGTCCTGGACAAGGTAACACATTAGTGCCATCTATTTTAGAAAATATACATGAATGGTCAAAAATATAAGTTATAATGATCGATTTATTCATCTATACGTAGAGAAATGGAAACCTAACATTGACGTTTTGAGGTTTACCCAAATTTCAAACTCATATCTGCATAAACCTTTGCGCTTTTCTACGCGAACATGTACGTACATGACACCCAAACGTGTTTCTCATCTCTTCGAGAGGTTTTCACTCTTATAGACGTTATTAAGAAAGCATTATCAATTTTCTCTCTTTACGTACTTTCTTTTCAGACACCATTCTCTCACCACAGCATCTCAACTACGAAATTATATCATGCTTCATGCTCAATGTTTAGTGCGGTAATTCTGCAATATTACATATGGAATTTCTTTTATCATTTCAATCCCCTACGTTGCCAATGTTGGTCCTACAAGCATAACATTGGCTAATTTTGAAAATAAAAGTATATATGTCGCTTGACAAACATTCCATCCATTGACAATTAGCATTAAAATAAACAATCAATTAAAGGAAATTAAAGCAATTTAAAAAATACAATAGATTCTGCATTTCTCATAATTCCCACACCGAAATTCTGCCACTTAATATCAACAACACCCATATCTACTCGGCAGACTGTACTAATTTGAACTCATGACTTGGCATACTGTACAAATTATCTTAGAATACTTTGGCCACGACATATCGACTTCGTCACACAGACTGCGAACTAACAATGTCGTTCACCCTCATACTACCACCCCCTCTAACAACGACTAAAACCACAATGTATATCTACAACATAAACATAAAACCAGTACTGAAGTACTGTGAGAGGCTGCGACCTTTAACGTTCGCATACTGACCAAAACGGAAAATAGATTAGCACATACTGACCAAAACGAAAAATAGTTTACAACATACTGACGAAAACGGAAAACTTTTTTTTGTATAGTTTTCCAACCTCCCGTCCCCCGCCTATGACGAAGTAGAGACTATGACATTTAAAATTATGCGTAGTTTCAAAAATATATATGAGTCAGTTAAAGTAAACATCAAGAAAGCTCTCCATAAGTCTCATTTCACCCAATTCACACAATTAAGCAACACCAAAACGTCCTTGCAAATCTCCACCGTCCATGAAGCTCCTACTATCCCACTAAAACAGACCGGGAGAGGCAGTGCATCGACTGATGTCAGTGCAGTGCTCTGACCAGAAGGTCCTAGGTTCGAGTCCCGATAGTGGTAAGATTTTCGACACTAGCTTGTCAGCTCGGTCGAATTTAGTCGCTGCCTGGAGCAGAATTCTACAGGCCGGCTGCTCTGGTCGGTAGTTTTTCTTTGTTTCTCCGATCAACACCAAGGAAATGCCCGACGAGTACCATAACAAACGGGTCACGGACCGTCCGCGATTTGTTCTTCCTCTTCCTTATCCTATCCATATCCCTTACACACTTACACTAGTACACACTACACTACCACACATACCGGAAGAGCGGTTGGGAGCTTACAGCTTGTCCCGGCTCGCGAGGTGCCTGCTGGTGGAAAATACCTGGTAGAGGGGAACCCTGCTAGCCGACGGTAGATCAGTGCCGGATTTCGCCGTCTAGCGGGGGAAGATAACCCTCACCTCCCGACGGAAAACATGCACTACATTTACGGTATTAATTACCTCAGCAGGTGACGCGCCCGAAATCACTAACAACGAACCAAGAACAGATATCACGCCACCGGTTTTATTTAATAACCGATTAATAGCAAGTAACACACAAATCCTACTCTAATTCCCTCCCCCTCCCTCCCTCTACCTCTTACCCTCTCACTCCCTCTCCCTCTCACCCTCTCTCTTTTTTCTCCTCTCCAACCTTCCTCTTCAAACAACAGTTGGTGGAAAGCCAGTGGCTCCTTTCCCCACCTAACATACCAACCATCACTCAACTAAACCGGGAAGAGCTCTCCCAGAGCAGGCTCAAGAGATAAACCATCTAACATGAAGGCTCTTTTTAATTGCCTTTTCTGGCACAGTTACTGGAATTTCCTTACCTAAAACAGTTCTGTAGTTTCCTTCGTAATAATAGTCGTGAAATCCAATGAATGCTTTTTTAGCGTTCCTTCTTTCCATGATGTACAGTAATAAATCCACTTCGGGCTGGAAATAAGAATATCAGAAAATGTATTTCAACATACACTTGAGACAATAAAGCTTTTAAGTAGAGAGTGAAGAATTAAATGTTTTAATTATCACATTGTATTTCCCTATTTTGTATAATTATATTTATCTTTAACAAGTATTACTATTCTGATTCTGTTGTATATCTGATATCGGATTAAGTTTAGTGATAATAATAATAATAATAATAATAATAATAATAATAATAATAATAATAATAATAGTAAACATTGCAACATGTTATGTTTTCTATCAACAAAATAAATTAAACTTTTGTAATAATTCTTCCATCTAACAAATATTTTAAAATATGGCTGGCTTTAGAGACATAAAGGTTGAGTGGTTCCCTAATCCCAAGTTTAAGAGGAATTTCCTTCTTCGAGGCGGATTTCCCAAAGGTCGGATTATCTTTAGCCTTCTGTTTAGTGTAAATAGGATCTATTATCAAATCCTATTTACGCTGAGCGTGAATACAACGCAAACATACTAATACTAGACCGAAAACGACGCCGTTGTCAATTGTTATAACTCGCGTAATGCGTTAGACAGTTTTGAAGAGATCTCTGCAATTGTCATGGCAGATTAATGTTAGCTGGGACACCAAAGAAGAGAAGAAGACAAAAAAATAGAAAGTGGAGAAAAGGGAACAGTTTGAGAAAAATGAGAAGATGAAACAGAAGAAAAACGAGAAAAATAATGACAAAAGAAATAAAAATAATGTTTTTGACTTAATCCAGAACTGTGTGTTCTGCATTCACTTCACGTATATTCTACAAATTATTTGTCACTTATGAAGTCCCAGTTCGCTGGAGCTACAACAGCACAAAGAAATGTATTCCGAATAGCTGAGAACGTTGTTCTGTCGGCCCCAGGTGGAAAATATAAGAGTCAAATTACGAATAAAGGCGTTTATGCCGTGCAAAATTCCATTACTCTCAACAATACAACATGCTTACGAGAAAGATGGATCAAGTTTTGAAGAGCTTGACTAAAAGCTCCATTGACCATCCTTTTATTGGCAACTTTATGATCGAAAAACACACGCTTCATTTTTCATACAGAAGCGTCCAGTCTGGTCAGTCACGTAGCATTTGTACAAACAAAATTGAATGAAAATATTGTACGGTGAAAATTTATTGAACACGTGGACTACGTAGTTATAGCGCTCAGTTTGTTCACTCAAAGTAACATTTATACACACACAAAAATTATTAAGGTTTATAATTCAAAAATATGTTTTATTTATTAATTAAATTACTGAGCCGCTCGAATGGCGGAGATCGTTAGGGCAGTAGTGCCGAAGCGGCTTCGGAGCAGAAGACCATGGATTCTAGTCCCGCCTCGGGCATGAGTGAATTTGTGTATGTCTGCATGTGAGTGCCGTCCTTTTATCCCTCACTATTATCATCATCATCATCATCATCATCATCATCATCACAACCTCCATACCTTAGGGCAACAACACTGCGGAATATAAAACCGGGTTTCAGCGAAAATGCTGACCCCCCCCCCTCGCGAGAAGGGTACTTGCATCTGCTGAACCAGACTGTACGCCTGGTCCGAGTTGGTATATATGCGGAAAAACAATAAAATTATTGTGCACTGAACTTAAATTGAACTCGCGAACTTACCGCTGTCTCGGGCACAGCCAGGTGCGCCCCGTCGGCAGTACACGTGGCGTTCGCCTCCAACCACTCCGCTTCGGGGTAGAACTTGTACACCCCCAGGTTGGAATAGCGCAGGTACCCGTAAGGAAAGAAAGGCGCGGCGGCCTGCGGCGTGCGGGAGGCCGCCGACGGCACAGTGAGAGACGTCGGGGTGGGAGAGGTGGGCGGGGCCGCACACGTGGGACACGAGGGGCAAGGCGGGGGCACGGGGCACGAGGGGCATGGCGCGGGCACGGGGCAGCGCGGCTCGGGGCACGACAGGTTGACCACCGGCGGCGGGCAGACGGGCACCGGGCAGGCGGGGGGCGGCACCGGGGGGCAGGTCGGTCGCGTGCCCGAGCACACCCGCTCGCACCAGCCCTCCGCGTCGTCAGAGACGGCCGCGACGCACCAGTGGGCAACCGTCAGCAGGACGAGTGCGGCTCTGGGAAGGAAGAAGTTCTGGCTTGATTATATCTGTACAAATTCCGTGATGGCAGCAGAGACATTGTGGATGATTACGGGTCGAGGAGGTGTCAACCACAAAGTAAATTAAAATATAATTTAATATTACTGGAAGACGTAACTCAGGGCATTAATTGATGTCACTGCAGTGTCACTAACCTGGAGAATTGATTGTGGCAGAGTTTTCGAAACTAGCTTGTCAGCTAAGTTGAATTAAGTCTCTCTCTAGAGAAGAATTCTAGTGGCTGGCTTTACTCTTATCAGTAGTTTTCAGTGGTGTCTCCTATCCACATCAGAATTGATTGATTGTTTCCGTGATTCCGGGCAAGTCAACTAACGGGCTCGTTATTCCCGTAAGTGTAGTGCATGTATTTGCTCGTGTATTGATATTTTCCTCGCTGTATAAAGAGATCCGGCGCCGACCTACCGTTGGCTAGCGAGGTTTTCCCCAACCAGGTATCTCCTACCAGCTGGGCACCGCCCCAGCCGGGACAAGCTCCCAGCTCCCGACCGGTCTCCCGGCATGTGTGCTTGTGTGCTGCGTGTTAGTGTAAGTGTGTGTACGTAAGGGGAAGGATAGGACAAAGGAGAGGAAGGAAAGATCGCACGCGATCCGTGGCACGTTTGTTAGGGAACTGCTTCGACATTCGCCTAGTGTTGATGGGAGAAACCACGCTCAAAACAGCCAGCCGCTAGAATTCTCATCCAGACAGCGTTTGAATTCGACCTAACTGACAATCAACAGCAGGCAAATGCTGGAGCAGTACCCTAACAAACGGACCATGGTCCCCACTTTCTTCGTTGTCCTATCCTTATCCCTTACTTACACTAACACTAACATACACTGCACTGCCACACATTCTGGGAGACTAGTCGGCAGCTTAGAACGTGTCCCAGCTGGGGTGGTTCCCCGCACGTAGGAGATATCTGGTTGTGGAAAATCCCACTAGCCGACGCCGTAACTCGCCATCTCGTAGGGGAATACTATTGACATCTGCCGAGGAAAAAATGCACTACACCTAGGAGGCTAATGACCTTAGCATATGACGTGCTCCAGATCACTAACAATGAATCAATTAATCAATAATTTAATAGTACAAAATTATTTAGCATATACGTTTTGGGAATAATTTTATCTCTTCTCCACTGGTTCTGCATAGAACGAAATAGGTAAACAAATAAAATGAACTTACGAAAATGATATTAAATTCACAAGTAGGAATAGGTGAGATAAAAATGAAGAATAGGCAGTGTTAGAAGAAGTCTTCAGGCTCACATAGCTGGCAACAAACATGTAAAATAAACACGATTTGTTGTACCGTATACTACGATTTGCAGCATCAAGTTTTCTTCTCAATTTCAGAACACTTCTTCCAACACCCCCTATTCATTTTTATCTTATCTATTCCTGTGTGTTTATTTAATATCATTTTCATATGATGCCACTGAAGATTGTGATAAAATTATTCCCGAATAATGTAGCCGAGGTGAATGCTTAATAAGATTTAATATTAAATTATATTTTAATATACTTCGTGGTAAATATCTTCTCGATCATCAAGCAGAATTATAATTGCTTTTCTGGATGCATCACATCCCATGGTTATTAGTCACGTAAGGATAGCAGTGTTGAATATTAAATCTCCAGAGATGGCGGTTTTCCTTTGCCACTAGTTCGTGAAATTCGGCTTCAACCTACACGACGGCTATGTTTCCCTCTCCAGGTATTTCCGACAGCGAGGTGTCTCCTCAGACAGGACTAGATTTAAGCTTCCAACTGGAGAGCCGCTGTCTGGGAATTGTTTTGAATTTTTTTAGCGTGCTTTAGCAAGCAAACGTCAGAGTAGTACCCTAACATTTAAGAACCACGCACAATCTTTCCTTCCTATTCTTGTTGCCTCCTCATAGTACATATTCACACACTTGCATACAATACATTACCACACATTCCGGGACAACGGCTAGGCCGATGTTACACTAGTGGAGATATCTGTAGAGCGAAACACAGAAAGCCCATGATGTAACCAATGATGCCTTACAGTGATGAGACCAATAACCTCAATAGTTGACGCGCCTGGAATGAATTAACTACTCAGTCATTTAAACGTGAATGCAAAAGATGGCGGGTGATACGGCGGTTTAATTGCCTTACACGAATTCAGGACCCAAAAATAGAAACCGAGAGAGCAACCGAGAAATGGAAAATTCATTCAAGACATTTTCACTGTTAGTCTAATTTGTCACCATCCGTAAATTAAAACGGCTCCTACTCAACCGGCGAGGCGTCGCCACGTGACCTTACCTGAGCGCCATCCCGGAGGAAGTGGTCAACCACCGGAGCTGTAGCTCCTTCAGAACGACACAGTGAGGCTGCGAAACGGGCGAGTACTCCCTGAAGCAATGTCGGAACGCGGCTTTTATCTCTCCGAAGGAGGTCCACGCCAAAACAGGAAGCGACACTGTAGCAGCCGCTCTGTCCGGCCTCTGGCTTGCCGGC